CCAGAGGAGAGACAGATCTCACAGATATCTGAGCGGCATTGCCTCTGAGGACGAAATGGGAAAAACAACAAACAGGAGCATCAGTGCTCTTCAAAGCTCAGAATGTCAACAAAACATCCCTCTGAGGAAAGGTCCAGTGAAATGTCCAAAATGTCACACCGAGATAAATCTGTGTCACTGTTTGGAGGATGGAGAAAATTTCAGATGGGGCCTAGAAGATTCAAGATTTCACACAGGGGAGAAACACAAATGCTTTAGCTCTGACCTTAAAGCACCTCAACCAATGCTTTCTGAAGAGAAAGTCTATAAGTGCAGAGAGTGTGGCATGAGCTTCAAGGGAAGTTCACAACTTCAAAGACATCAAAGAATACACACAGGAGAGAAAGCATACAAATGTCCTGAATGTGGTGAGGCCTTCAGATGCAATTCACATCTTCACGTACATCAGCGAATTCATAGAGGAGAGAAGCCCCATCAGTGCAATGAATGTGGGAAAAAGTTCAGCCAAAAGTCAAACCTTGTAGTACATCAGCGAGTTCATACAGGAGAAAAACCCTATAAATGTGAAGAATGTGGGAGGAGTTTCAGCCAAACTGCAAATCTTGTAATACATCTACGAATTCACTCAGGAGAAAAGCCCTATATATGCAAAGAATGTGGAAAAAGTTTTAGTCATCCCTCAGCTTTTAAGGTACATCAGCGCCGGCATTCAGGGGAGAAACCTTATTCTTGTAAAGAATGTGGGAAATGTTTCTTCCGGAGCGGTCATCTTCAAGTACACCAGCGGGTTCATACAGGAGAGAAACCCTATAAGTGTAAAGAGTGTGGAAAATGTTTCAGTAAGTCCTCAAATTTTAGAGTACATCGGCGCCGGCATTCAGGGGAGAAACCTTATTCTTGTAAAGAATGTGGGAAATGTTTCTTCCGGAGCGGTCATCTTCAAGTACACCAGCGAGTTCATACTGGAGAGAAACCCTACGAGTGTAAAGAATATGGGAGGAGTTTCAGCCAAATTGCAAATCTTGTAATACATCAACGAATTCACTCAGAAGAAAAACCCTCTGCATGCAAAGAATGTGGGCAATGTTTCAGTCGTTCCTCAGTTCTTAAAGACCATCAACGCTCACATTCAGGGGAGAAATCCTATCGTTGCAAAGAATGTGGAGAAGGCTTCTGTTGTAATGCTCAGTACATCAAACATCAACAGATGCACAGAGAGGGGAACCTTTGAAACGTGCAGGAAATGAACTTCGTAAATTCCACCCATATTTCCAGTCAGGGTAGAACACATAAGCTGTTGTGAACCTATGAATGTACCTCAGAAAGAAACCTTATGGTGGCTGCAAAGGGCATAATCCCCTCAACTTCATTGAATTCGCTTTCTCCGACGGCGCTACAAAACTCACATTCCTAATGGCTTTTTACAGCAATAAGTGGATGATTAACAAGCATGATGCTCTGAATGAGCTTTTGAGGGTGGGAACGCCGTTACAGAAAGAAAACATGATTTGTGCAACTTCTTTCCTTGTGTTCTGTGATGTTTTGATTATTTTAATCTTTGATTGTTTTAATTTTACTGAGATGGTTTTAACATGATTCTAACCTCATCATTTTATGAAAGTTGCCTTGGAACGGAAATAAACGTTCAGACTGGAATGAGGCCTCTTCAGATTATCAGACTGAATTCTGCAAACAGGGATCCTGAGTGGATGAATGTGAATAATCTTGAGCCTATTTACAGGAGAGCAAAGTTTGTGTAAGTTAAAGGAACCCTAAAAGGGTTTTCAAGTATATGAGATATTTAAGGAGTGGTATCCTATGATCGGCTATGTCTTCTGCCCAGTCTGCACCAGTAAACCCCACTAGTCTAGGATTTTCTGTGGATGGTAATATAAGATTTAAATATGCATTACTCTTTAGATCAGGGGTCTGCAACCCCCGTTCCATGGCCCAGTGCCAGTCTGTGGCCTTTGCTGGACCCAGCTGCGGAGACAGATCTCCTACACACCCCACCCAACAGCACTCCCCCTGCACAGCCCTTTCGCGCATGTATGCGAGTGCATGTGTGCCAGCGTGAGCACCCCCCAACCCTCGCACATGCCCCAAGTGCCCTTCACACATACATGCAAGCACCCACACCCTTCACACATATGTACAAGTGAGCACCTGCGTAAGCATGCGCCCACCCCTTCACGCATGTGTGTGAGCATGGTGTGCCCCACCTTCCCCAACTGCTTTAGATTTCTCACCGCCCGCTTAATCCCAGTCCAGTCCTTTTGGGTCAGTGAGCTGGTCCTTCGGCAAAGAATGCCCACTGCTGCTGCAGTATCTGGTCTTCTCATCATGGCAAGATACAGCATCTTTCCTATGGCTTCTCTGTAGCCATGCTTGTTGGGCAAGAGTTCACTTGGTTCTCTCTGTTTATGAAAGTCAGTATCCATGGGAGTGGATACAGGATTGGCATCCTGCAGTCCAAGGCTTTCCACCAAGTCAAGAATCAGACTGGCAGAATCACCCTCTGCATACTGGAACACAATTGATCTCCATACTCCAGCCGACTCCACATAAGGAGCCCTGCTACAATGAATTCTGGAGTGGGCTGAACTAGGTTGAATGCAGGCCATGCTAAAACCTGGCCTGGACCCAGAAATGGAGTGGCATCAGATATTTGGCTGGTCACCCTTGGAAAGAGGCCATGACTGTAATGGGGGTCAACTGGCAAATCAGTGGCTGAAATGCTGTTTATTTATAAGTCACACTATAGTGGGCTCATTGAATCAACAGAGATTTGGTGAGTCAACTCCTCTGTAGGTTCTGTGGGTCTACTCTAATGCAATTTACTATAGAAAGCAAAAAAATAAAAAGGTTTCAACTACAGTCTACAAGGCTCTTTATTTTTTTTTTCTGCAGTCTCATACATGGACAACAAGGGGAAGATGAGAAACCTAATGAATAAGACAGGAAATTTGAGCCTGAGATTGCTTTGTTGTGAACTACAAATCGCAGAACTCCTTGCAGATCCTAGTGAATAATTCTCTACACCTGGCTCAGCTGACGCTGGGAGTGATAAAAGAAGGGGGGAAATCCGGAAATTGCAAATAGCAACTAGGTTCTAGAAAGAAATAGGGACTTGCCACACAAGATGAGAAAATTCCAGTGTTTCCTTCTGCCCTGTTTCTCCTCGTAGAAATTATCTTACTGCCTCAGCACTTTTTCAATTCCTTTTCCCAAACTTGATGCTGGTCTGTGAGATTTCCTCAATCTGGGTGAGTTAAAGTAATATTGGAAGTTTCTTAGAGAGAAGATGGCTTAAGCAATGGGGAATAAAGGCAGAAAGCGAGACACTGTCTCTCTTCAAACTGGCCAGAATCCTGTGGAATCCTGGCCAGATGACTGATAAACATTCTGTCTCTAATTTCTAAACTACTTAGCAAAAGCAGGAGCAAAGAATCATCTTCTGAGGGATTCGTCCTTCGGATTTTTTGGACTCCAGCTCTCAGCATTCCCCAGTTCCGGACCAGAGACCCACCCTTTCGGACATGTATATTTCCCTCATCTCTTTGAGGGCCACTCAAGTTGTATAAATTAGGAAGGACAAGTTACAGAACACGGACAAAGAGCCCGAAATGCCCACAACAGCCATTATATCCCGGGCATGAAAGTTTTCACGAATACATTCTGTCTCTAATTTCTAAACTCCTTAGCAAAAGTAGGAGCAAAGAATTATCTTCTGAGAGATTCGTCCTTCAGATTTTTTGGACTCTAGCTATCAGCATTCCCCAATTCCGGACCAGAGACCCACCCTTTCAGACATGTATATTTCCCTCATCTCTCTCAGGGCCACTCAAGTTGTGTTCCTAGCTTTGTTTCATGTCGCAATGCATCCTGGG